AGGGGGTAGATATAGACACTATAGATACTATTAGATAGATAGATAGATAGATAGATAGATACTATTTACATTTTATCAAAATGTTTGCAGTGTTGTTCCATTCAGCCATGCTAACCACATTTCTACCTTCAAGGAATTCTTTATATCATGATTTGACATGGGTTTGAAATAGTGCAGCATAACAGTCAGAAAATGGGCTGAAAATATGGGCGATGCAGCTACTGCCTCGATCCAGGTGCTGATGATGCAAGTTTTTTTTTGCAGCACTAACATGTGCTACTGGACATGTGTTTGTCAATTTGATGTTCAGCCCAATGGAATCAGGTGAATGATAGCATATACTCCGCACCATTTTGATTCATCATATTTCCCTACTACAGTAGGGAAATAATTACAATACTTTTGTCCTAATTTCTAAACTTGCAAGCAGGGCCTAAAAATAACTTTTTGCCACATCTGCCAACGGCTGGTGACTTGAGAAAATTTGCCAGCTATAATTTTTTTTTCCTGGCCATGAAATGATTTTTGCAAAAACAGGCCATTGCTGCTACTACTACAACTAAACATATTTATTTTTAAAAAGCCATTTAAAACAAGCTTAGCGTCCAAAACAAGCTTAGCGTCTACTACGCCTCTAATGAGTCTCTGCACAAACAGATGTACCCATAGGACATTTGCTGAGTCTTAATTAGAATCCTCTGACAAATCAGACACCAAGGCGGTCTGGCTACTTTGTAAACCCGTGCAAACACAATGAATTACACTACAGTGTAAAGCAAGACGTCCCAAATGTTTACACACATGTCCCAGTTACCCCTTTTGTTGATCAAAATAACACCATCCCCTATGGGAAAAAACCCGCAGACCATCATAAAACAAATTTGCAGCAATGCTCAGATGTGCAGAAACGCCCTTTGATAGATTGCCCAAATCCATCTCTTAAATCTAAATACAGTGGTTTCCATGGCGACCGTGTCTTTGACTTTACTAGATGGTGATGCAGGTAACCCGTTCATCTCTTGGCCTTCCTTTTGGTCTATATGTGTGTGACGCTCTCTTGATTTCTATCAGTTCTCACAGGTATCTGAGGTCTGTGTCAGAAGGGACTATATTTCATTGCAAACCACAGACTGAGCTTCTCTGCAAGTTATGGTAAATCAAACACTTTATTTGCATACAGATAAAAGACACTGATGAAAAAATGAAAACAGTGTGCAGTTTTGTGATGTCACAATGAAATACATACAGATCTGTGCATAGAACAGTTACAGAGGTAATACGAGCCAGGATAAAAATATCCGGTGATTCAACATTTGGTGGACACCGTCCAAAACACATCAACTAAGCATATTTGCTGAGTTTTTCAATGCAGTAGCAGAAACTGGATTCCCAACCAGATGTAGGGGAGACCGGGAGCAATTTAACAAACTAAATGTTCTCAATGATGTGGGATGACACTTATTCAGAATATGCTCAGTAAAGTTCTCTCTCTAACTGAGAAAAAAAGTGTTTTACATACACTGTAAAACTGAACAATGAAATTAGTTAATTTTACTTAAACATTACAGAAAGTTCACTGTACTTACTAGAAAAAGTTACATGAACTAAATAATTGTTTATATTAAGCTGAACTTAAACTAAATGAGTTGCAGCAAATTTCTAATTCCCAGAATGCTTTGTGTCAGGAGAATCAATTTTAAAATTAAACGTTATTTTGTGTGTTTTTGCACAACATTTTATATACAGGTGCATCTCAATAAATTAGAATGTCGTGGAAAAGTTAATTTATTTCAGTAATTCAACTCAAATTGTGAAACTCGTGTATTAAATAAATTCAATGCACACAGACTGAAGTAGTTTAAGTGTACACACACACACACACACACGTTAGTTTTTATGGTTTACGGGGACTCTCCATAGGCGTAATGGTTTTTATACTGTACAAACTCTGTATTTTCTATCACTCTAAACCAACCCTACACCTAAATCTACCCCTTACGGAAAACTTTGTGCATTTTTAGATAAAAAAAAAAAAACACCATTTAGTATGTTTTTTAAGCCTTTTGAATTATGGGGGACACCGAAAGTGTCCTCATAAATCACCTTCACATTGTAATACCTATGTCATACCCATGCCATTATATAAAATTGTGTCCTCCTCATAAACCACATAAACGTGCATACACTCTCATAGTAGTTTCCATTTTTTGTGGAGACATGTGGTCCTCATAATGTAGGGAATACCAGGTACACACACACTTTTTGTATTAAATTCAATTGCTATATTATCTAGTTTTTATTTTTCTATTAGAAGTCTGTTAATGGCACTGTAAGTTTTGTTATTTTCATATATTTAGCCAACATTCTGTATACTAGAAGAGACGTTAGTGGTCTGTGAATTATAAAGGAAAATGTTACAATTGTCCCTGGTTTACCATACTTATTGTGGTATGTTTTAATCAGTAGGTGCAAAATCATGCTAAATAAATAAATAACCATGATAAAGCCAAGTTGTATAAGTTGTTCTGATGCCTCTGTTTTGTGTCATAAATTCATAAGCTCATAAAGAGGATTGTGGACACTAATAGGCTGCAACTCAAAAACAGAAAAGAAACAGCATTCTTAAAAAATAATAAAGTTTTTCCCCCTGTCTTCTGTAACCTTGCCAATTCAGCACAGAGGTGCCATTGAACTTAATATTCAATGAATAAAATAATTTAAACAATACCTGCTGTCAGTGCCACTGTAAATGCATAAAATTTTTCATTTCACGTTTCATTTCAAATAAAGAAAGTGCTCTGCAATAATTTGGAGAAAAAATAAACATACCATGAATGTATATTGAACACATGCATTATAACAGCAGTGATGTGCAATTAATATCTTGTCAGGAAAAACAAAGATATTCTAAGCAATGGGGTAATTAAATAGGGTAACTTGTAATCTGTAACCTATTACATTTCCAAAGTAACCTTCCCAACACTGTCCACAAGTTCATTGATCTACTGATGTTAAGGTTTAGTGGTTTCTAAGCATTAAACTAACCTTTTTATTTATTTATTTTTTTTTTTGGCTTGGCCCTACAAGAGAAATGGCTCGTAAATGCAGCAAAACATTTAAGCTCTATATCAAGTGCCATGACAAGCAAAAGAATATAGCATGGATACCTCTTAAATATTTTCCTAGCAGGACTTATTTTCACTAATGCACTGACACAATTTTAAGTCTAAATAAATTTGCAGATTACATTTAAAAATAAGCATTTTAAATTATTAATGATTTACTTTAAGTGAGTTAAATGACTGCAGAGGTAATCTAAAATTTTTATCATGAGAACTGAGTGTGAAAAGTCAAATACAGACATTTCAAACAATACCGATGGTCATAATCAATATGGTAGCAATATATTGTGCATCATTAGGTTTTTTTATCCTCTCTCACCCAGACTCTTCACCCTAAAACCTGCTTCAGCCTGCAGTTACAGAAAGAAAAGCCAGGATTCCCATAGCTCTCCATAAGACTCTACAAATAATTCGTCTTGTCTCGAATCAATAATAACCTGAGATGCTAAAATAACTTGCAAACATTGACTCTATTTTGTGCAGTCATGTTTTGCAGCAAAACTATTTCTTGCACCTGAAAAATATAACTCTTCACAAAAACACATTTTGTTATGCGTATATTGGGAGGGGAATACACCCTCTTACCAAAAACGATATGTAAATAAAATCTTGGAAAATTACATAATCTACACTTAACATTAATCAGTCCGATGACATTGGACAGATATTTCTCACGTTCCAGGAAAATCCCAAGAGAACTTTGCCATCAAATTTCCATAACTACAAAGCAGCCAAGATCCTGAGGAAAGGGGGATTTGGGAAAACAAAAATCCATTGTTACAACTCGAACAAGACATGTAAAATCTAAACCTAAGGCGTGTTCTTTGTACTCTCTTTTTCGACAGCACAAATCTACTAAACCCATCAAACAGTCTGCACATTTTAGTACTCCAGGGATTCATTTCCTAAAGCAGAAACAGTAAAAAACAAGGGAGCATATGAGAAGCTCATAAGCTTTATGGATCCGTCTGTGTGATGCTCATGGGCTTTTTCCCACTCATTTTCAAAGCATCATTTTAAAGCAGCACAATGCTGAATAAAAGAGTGCCGCGTGCACCAAACGTGATAACGACAGAGTAGTCTGAAATAAATAACCAGCTCCATGAAATAGAAAAAACTCTGTTTTTAGCTACCATCACAACATTCTTCTAAAATAAATCACTCTTACTGACAAAAACGTGATGTGGGATATTGTTTAACATTATATTGATGAATCAAACCAGACAGTTCTGAATCTCTATAATCAAACTATCAGCAGGAATCAAACATAAGCACTCAGTGCCAAATACGCTACATGTATAGTTTTTATGGCACATTTAAAGACTTCAGCTGTTATCTGTGAATAAAAGCGATCAACATAACAAATACAAGAGCTACAAAGTCGAAGCCCCACAGGAAGATCAATCAACCAACAGACAATAACATGATGCAAAACTGACCATCTGACCACGTTTTATGTCTCTCTCAGTTGGTGCTCAGAAGCTAAAATTTCAGAAGCTAAACAGATGCGTGAGAGGCCAGCTGGTAAAATCAAGAATAATTTCCTGATTACGAAATGAGGCAGAATAATGTTTGAACAGGTAGAAACAGATGTGGCGTGCCTGTTACTCTGAAAGAGCCAGGAGTCTTTTCAGCTAGGACAGAAATATAAGGTGTAAATAACAGCAGATCTGCAGTGCAGCACAAATCAGAGTCTGACACCATCTAGTTTGCTCCTGCCAGATACAGAACTTATTAAGTCATTACCCACGAGCACAGCAATCCCATAAAACTGATGGATTGCTTTTGATCCTCTCTGATCTCCACATGACTATAACATTGATTTGACCGGCACGTCACCGCTCCTTTAGTATGTTGCATGGAGCACTAAGGTCTTACCTTAGGATACTGCTGCACCGGGATCAGTACGCGCTCCGACAGTTTGATGTTTTTGTTGCTGATGATATCCAAGTATTTCTTCACCTCGCCATCTTTTCTCAACTCGTCTCCTTCGAACTTTTCAATCTCTGAATGAAAGAAAAAAAAATAGCTCGGATCAAATAATGTCACAAATTCCAGCCCAGAATATTAGGACAAACTCAACAAAATGCTTTCAGATATTTTCAGCTTCCGGTGGCACATTTATTAACAGCAATTAAATAAATACTCCACGTAGAAAGTAACTTGTCGGCGTAAGCCTGCTAAGCCCTTATTCACATGACAAACACAAATTGAAAAGCTGCTGCGCAAAACTGTAATATTTTGTGCTTGAGGAATTTTATGGTGCTTTTGAGAATTGAGCCGGAGACTTAGCAGCCACACAACATTAAAGAGGCTTGAAATGAAGCTGTCACCTGGGTTCCTCCAGGGATCCCCTTCTGTCGCTGCTAAATTAATGCTCAGCAGAATTGAGAATTATGAACCTGTGCAAGTCGTGTAAAACACGGAGTGGGGAAAGAAGGGAAGGGAAGTCAGCAGGTGAAGGGAGACCATTATTTTTCACCTCAACTCTGGTGAGTCTCTCAGCTGCTTAGACCTGCAGAAAACCACAGTGTCTCACTTTCACTTCTACACTGAATGTAGTGGGGAGGAGCAGCGTGGATTTCATCCCAATGTCTTTTCAAGTTTTAAGTCCTGTAGACCCAAAGCGTGTTTGTTTTAATGATAGCTTAGTGTGGTGGTCTTTGTGAATACAACACAGCTTGTCTGCTGCAGTTATATGGCCCCTTATGTATTTAAAATGAAACTTTCTCTCTGTATAGTTCTTCGGTAATGATCACCTCTGTTTTTCTAAATAAACCACTTATTGTTTATTATCAACGCTTTGCAATAAACAGCTAGAAAGCAATTATTTGCTGGTTATAATATAATCAGCTGGAATTAAGTGCAACAACAGAGGATAAAATCACTGAAAAAAAAAGAATAAATAATGAAAGTTATTTTTGCAGTTATTTTGAACCAGCTGGTCTCAAGTTGATTTTTAGAGGATATATGAAGTCAGTTCCCCTCAAGTTCACAAAGGTGTCCTATCAGAGAAACCACAGGTGTAGTTCAGCACATTAAGGATGAACATGTCTCACCAATTTTTGAAAACCAGAAGGTAGGCCTACTTGGTACCTTCAAAAAAAACCTTTTCCTTAATTTTGAACAGTATTATCGCTTTAAACCAGTAGTTCTTCGCTAAAAACAATAGAAAGAAAATATGATCTCAGTTTACATCTTGATTTTATGTTTATATTTAGCCTTTTAATTCTGATTTTAATATTTAAAAAAATTATTAATTTAAATACTTCAGGTCCCCTTGGAAGCTTGCTGAGCCCCCTAGTGGGCCCCGGCCCCCTAAGTGAGAACCACTGCTTTAAACCTAACACACCCATTTTTGCTTAAAAAACTTTGTAGCACTAACAGCCCTATGGTTGTGAGCTCAAACGCCAGCTGAGACCATGCATGAACTGGAGAGTTACAGAGGTCTTGCTTCATTGTGTGCCCTTCAGCATGACACTTACTCTCAGGTGGCTGCAAGCGACTAATGGCAAAGCATCTGCAAAATGACAACAGCACGAAAAGGTGAAATTTCTATCAAAAAAGTAAACGATGACATGGTCTATGTAAAAGTCACCTGATCGTGATGATCGATTTTTTTAACCTTTTTTGTACTGGGGATGCTGTTCTTCCTGTCGCCTTACATTTTCCTCTGAAAGGTATGATAGAAATCAAACCAGGCTGAAAATGAGAAGGAGACCTAACAATAAGGCATACTAAAATAGATTTTACGAAGAGTGGCCACACACAGCCTGAATTCATATTTATTTTTGCATGAAACTGTAACATAGGAATTAGGAAAGTATAATCACTTTGTCCTCTTGCTTATGAATATATGTAAGTTCACTTTAAATATAAAAGTACTTCTGCAGACTCAGTAGCTGCAAATTCTCATTGTAATCCACTGGGAACAGACTTGTGCTCTGTGCATGTCTAATGCTATTTTATGGGGATGCTGTTCTTCCTGTCGCCTTACATTTTCCTCTGAAAGGTATGATAGAAAGCAAACCAGGCTGAAAATGAGAAGGAGACCTAACAATAAGGCATACTAAAATTGATTTTACGAAGAGTGGCCACACACAGCCTGAATTCATATTTATTTTTGCATGAAACTGTAACATATTAATTAGGAAAGTATAATCACTTTGTCCTCTTGCTTATGAATATATGTAAGTTCACTTTAAATATAAAAGTACTTCTGCAGACTCAGTAGCTGCAAATTCTCATTGTAATCCACTGGGAACAGACTTGTGCTCTGTGCATGTCTAATGCTATTTTATTTGCACAGAAAAGATTTGATCAGACAAAATTCAAAGCTGCCATTATTCCTTTGACTTTTTGCAACATGCAAACTGAACAAAAACAAATTTAACATGGAAAAAAACACTAAAAAAACAGGAGTGCTGTAAAACCTCTGTGTCTTCGGATTTCATTGATTTTGGATGCCCCTAAACACAATGAAAGCCATCTCTTAAGTATGCCATGCATGCCTGACAACGCTAACTAACAAAAGTCTCTGAGTGCTATTTAGGAGCTGCTGATCTGATCTTATTGGATGAGTAAAAGACCAAAAAGTCCATAAATGAGCTTTTAGTTGATACATATAACAATTTCAAGGGTGAGTGGCTCTGTGGAATGAGTATCGTAGCATAATAGGAAAGATCCAGGCTTAAATTCTGGCTTGGCTTCTTTTTCCGACATCTGTTGTTATGCCTTTGCATAAAACACTTCAGCCCAGCTTGTTTAAGGAGTGCCCTATACGGTTACCAATGCATAAACAATTGATTGGTCATTCAAAGGTAAAAATATATATTCAAGCATTTAAATTTTAAGCATTTAAGAAAAAAATCTCTAACTGATCTACCAAAAAGCATTAAAATCAGAACATTTTTCATCTTCTTGGCATTATAATAAGCAGAAAAACGTGCACATCACAGAATGTCAAATATATTCATCTAAAGGCTCTGTGAAGTTTCTCTACAGTTGTAGTTCACAAGAAGATTCTAGATTGAATTCTATGATCCTTGTTCAGCATGAACCAATTGGGTACAATTTAAGGGATGCTGGATCTGTCCAAATAATAATGTTCACAATGACAAAAGAAAATCGGAAAAGACCTTTGGGCCTAATCTGAGGCTGATCAAGCAGGTGGATATGGCTTTTAATAATATTATTTGGAGTGTCACAGTATTGTTCCTTGATATACAATACATTTTACACTACTTGATCCACCTTTTCTAACAATCCTTTAAAAAGACATAACCGTACGGAACTTTGAAGACTCACAGTCTCTCTGAAGATAGCATCCTGCTGGCTGGAAAATGAAACTTTCAGCTGAAAATGACATTCACATTGTGTAAAACACATCAATCTGACCTCTTGATCAGGACCTATGGAACTCAGAAATTCAAAATCACTCACATTAGAATAATACGGCTATGAAAAAGAAAGGTAAATCACCCTTTTGTTCTAGTAAAATACATTTTCAACCCAAAATCATTTGAAGGTTATCTGTTACAATTCAGATTTTTTTTTGTCACCCTCATTTTGTGTTCACTATTTCTTTGTAATCTGTAACATAATCTTTTTGGTTTGCACTCTCCTGACACACTCATACACACATATAAGGTTACAAAGGTGTAGGTTTGAAAATGATTGAATACAGATAAAGGTGATGACTCAGTCACAGGATATGGAGGAGGCAACTGGCACAAGTGAGAGATGAAAATTAGTTTGAGCTAATTGTGCATTGCTCAAACCAGTCTTGTGTTTCTGCCTCAGCAATATTACGAACCATGGGTAATAATCACAGTACCCTTCCTATTCAAAAAAGTCAACTCTGCAGGAATCGTAGCTTTGTAATCCACCAGAACACAAATTAACAGAGAACTGAGGCAATCTCAGCTGCCAAGGCCCTCTGTGATTGTACTTTCCTATTTTATAACATATATCCCACTTTGAAGGATATTCTTGATCTATTATAAAACCCAATTTGGACAATTTCAATCCAAAGAACACAGACAAAGGATTTAATACAAACTTTTTTGGCAGCACTTATGTTACGTCAGCTTGTGAATTGTTGCCCTGCTGTACCCGAGGGAAATTTTTTTCAATCTGCTTTACAACCTTTTTGTCTACTACTCATACTACTTCAGCGAGCAATGACCACCTTTATCAATTTTAGATGAAGGTTTATATTCTGGTTAAATTTTTATTATAATTCTTGCTTAGATTTCTAGAAATCAGAGATTCTGTTTAATGTGGTTAAGAAATCAAGTTTGCATGGCACTTAAAGGGGTTATTCAGTGCAGGAAAGATATGTATATTTAACAAAACTTGGCTGTCTGTGTAGTAGAAAGGCATTTTTTATATAATAGGTGCTTTAATTAGTGCTATGTGACTAGAGAAAATGGACAAACCGGGTTACAGTGTTCCCTTTTGCCAAAGTTTGCATCATCCAGCAGACTTTAGCTGACAAATAAACTGAGAGATCTGGGTGCAGGTAACATAAAGAGTGCACATTGTTCATTTACATATAAATGGTCAAAATATGATCCAATTCTGATTAATATCAACATTCTTGTGCCTGTAAATGCAGTCAATGAGAAATTGAGTGCAAAACACACACACACACACACACACACACACACTATCCACTAAACACATCATATTCAAAGAGTGATATTGCTATTTTTGAATGAAACAAATGCACCTGCCTGTAATATTTTGACATTTAAAATGTTATTCTACGATATGTTTGAATGTGTCACTTTACAACACCATGATTTTACAATAGGCTTCATAATATTTGTTTCAGATGAGTTTGAGAAACTCATTTCAGTTTCTGAATATTAACATATTTCCATCTTCTGCCTATCTCAACAAATATTACTCAAGTCATTACTATTAGAAACCTCTTCTCTTTTCATTTCCTTCCCCATCATACATCACCTTTCATTGTGCATCACCCTAATTTACATTACTT